AAGTAGTTATAAAAAGATTTCTAATCTACATCTTTGTGAATAGTGTCCTATATTTGGGCTTGTGCCTGTGATTGCCAGTGTGTTATATGGTGTACATTGTAAGTATGACAAAATTTTTTTTTTTTTTTTTGCTCTTAAGCAGCCATGCTAGTACTTTATTAAAATTTTTGCAACTATATATAATAACTACATAGAATTTTCCTAATAACTAAGTCCAGCATCACCTGGCCACCTTATTGATACCTAAGTGTAACTTGCTGCACTACTCCAGTTAGAGGTAGATTGCTTATCTGGCTACTTAAAGCTGTACCAGAAAGGATTTCTTTTTTTCAGAACAAGCATTAACTGTCTTCAATCCTTTCTTTAAATTCTTCCTTCTTCTCAAAGAGCTAAAAAAAAAGAGGTATTATAAAATTTAATACAAATAAGAATATGACTAAAAAAATCAAAAGTAAACAAACAAAACCCAAATCAAAACAAAACAGCAAAACAAACATGTAATAGTAAGAAAAAAAAAAACAAAAAGAGGACTGAAGCCCTAACCAGAACAAGTTGTAAAAATTATATAATACTGCTAATTCTAGTCTCTATTTTAAAAATGGGTTTATACTATATATAAATGTAATTTGATAATAGAGATGTCAGTGTTTAATTTCTTCCCTACCAGTTCTACAGCTGGCCTTTTCATTCCACTTAGAGTTACTTCTAATTCCAGAAAAGAGATATTTCTCTTATTCTCAAAATAGATGATTTCTGTAGATTTTTCATAGAGAGTATGCTAAATTCCTACTTTTTGTAAAAACTTCCATCAAAAACCAAGTGAGGAATATGGTAGTGGTGTTCGGTTAACAAGTATCCTTGAATTTCTAATGAGTGTGTTGAAAAACTTGCTTATTGTTCTCCTATAAGACCTACTATTTTAACTTCATTAACAGAAATTGAGACTTTTACTAAAATTTGTTATACAAGGGTGCCTCCTGCCAGTTATCTTGTATATGCATGCTTTTAGTTTGCTTGCTAAATATATAAAGGAGTCCAGTGTAAAAGAACCACTTTGATCTTTATAAAAACTATTATTTATATAGTAGCCTCTTCTACTTTTTTTAATAAGTTTTCTGTTTTTGTTGGTATGAAATTCAGTACAAGTGATCATCAGAGAGAGTTGCGATATAGAGTTTTCTATAAGTATAACAAATAAATTTTCTAATATTATGTTTATTAATCAGTAATTTTTTTTATAATTGTTTAATTATTATAACAAAAATTAAATAAAAACTAAATTTTAAACAATTTTTTAACTAAATTAATTAAATTTAATTTGGTTAAAAAATTAATCAAAATTTTAAATCTTATTTAACTTTTATTATATAGTACTAGACAACAAGAAATTTTTAATATTTTATTAAAGCACCAAATTTAAAGATTATATAATTATTTATAATTGGTCAATTTTTATATAATAAAATTTGATCAGTTAATAAATTATATAAATAATTTTTTTTTACATACAGTATTAAACACTAAATTTTTAAATTTATTTAAAATTTAAAATATTATAACTTAAAAATAAATTACTTTAACAAAAATTTTTTTTATAGATTTATTGTTTTTTATTCAAACTATAATATTTATTAGAATAAATTTTTATTTGGTTTATAATTTTAAAAAATTATAGATATTGAGTCTTATAGCTTAGTTGTTAGCTTTTATTCTTTTATAGACAAGATTAATAGTTCAAGTTTAGTTAAAAGTAAAATACTCTATAACTAAAAATAAAGTTTATAATTAGATATAAAGCTTTGTAAAAGTTTAAGTGAAAATATATATTTGGTTTAAGAAATTTCTAGAAAGAAACCAATATAGCAAAGTATAAGCACTATTATATAATAAAAAATATAATGTATATTATTAATGTTTGTAAAAAGGATTGGCCTTATATAATATGAAATCACTACTAGTATCATAAATCCAAATAGGCATAGTCATAGAATCTATTTTCATTTAGTAGAATTTGTGTTAAAAGTAAACTAGTTCTAAAGTCTATTATTAAAAAATTAAGTTAATATTAAAAAAAAAACATTAAAATTAGAGATTTTAAATAGAGAACCTATAAGCAAGTTTAGATATAGCAATTAGTAGGTAATCTGTAAGCAAAATATTTAAATAGACAATAATTAAAATTATATAAATAACTAATTGTAACCTTATTAAAATACAAAATATAATATATCTTTACAATATTTATAGATTATAAGTTTTAATAAAAATCATGAATTATAGATATCACTTTTTAAATCTAAAAAAAAAGTTAAAAAATTATAATATTTTTTATATTTTATATATAAAAATTAGAAGTTTCTTATTGTTTGATATTATAATAATTAAAAAATTATAAAAAAAATTAATAATTAGTATTTATTGTTATAATTATAATTTATTAATTTAGGGATATGGTAACTTAGTGAAGTAAACAGGTTGTCAACCTCCAAGTGGCAGGTCTAGTGTTCAAATCTTATAGACAGCAAAAGTTAAATAATTATACCAATGTTACAATAACTGTATTTCATCAATCAGTTGGACAAAAAAAGAAGATCTGTAATCTTAGATATATTATTTTAAATAAGAGCTCATGGCATCTATGAAAGTATAACATTACACATATATAGAGGAATATTAAATAACCAGTGTTGCATAAGACTTTAGTACAAATCCACAATAAAACCATTGAGTACATAACTCTAAGAAACTGAAACACAGAAATCCACTTGAAAATTCTGAGTAAAGAGGTAACATGGACTTTCGATGATGCTACTAGACTATCAGAAACCTCAGAAAGAATAACTAGAATAAAACAGATGACAATATGTGTAGAGAAACACATACCAACTAGGCCACTAGAAATTGCCAAAAGAAAAGAATCTTAGGATACCATACTAAGTCATCTGGATTGGTAGTCTGAGAAATCTTGTAGGTTCAGAGTAAAGGAAAGATGTTGAAAAAAGAAGATATCAGGATTCTAATAAACTTTACAAGGGTATAGTGATTTAATAGTTAGCCCTGACTGCAAATGATGGCCTAGACCAGAATGGTATTAGATCAGCTATAAGTATAAGATACAGAAGGCTCTGGTAGACTTAGTATAAAGTTAAATATGACTTAGTAACCATAGTATATTTGTAGATTAATATTGCAGTTGATAGGGTAAAAGTAGATATAAGAACTAGAATGTTTAAATAGAGAACCTACAGGTGGGTTCTAGGTATAGCAACTAGTATAGAACCTTCAGATGGACTACTTAAAATAGACAATGACTAAAGTTGTATGAGTAACTAGTTGTATACTCTTTCTATAATTAGCTCTATAGCTGTTATATACAATAATTATATGCTGACTAATTATCAATAAACTTCTGAGTTACAATTACTCACTTTAATATTAAAAAAAAAAAAATTATTAATTTAAAATATTATAAATTAGTTTTTATATTACTTGTTACAACTTTAACAAAAAATAAAAAAAATTAGAAAAATTTACTTAGACTTTTTATAAGTATTTCAATATAAAGAAAATGACAATTCTAATATAATAATTAGGTTGTTATCTTTTAAGTAGTGTATCTGATATTTAAATTCTATTATAATGAAATTTAAAAATTTATTTATATTATAATAATTGTTTTCTATTGATTAGTTAACTTTATACAATTGTAATTCAGATACTTTAACTTAGGTCTTACTCATCATTAGGAACTCAAAACATCTATATGAAATATAATGTTATATATATATATAAAAATGTTAATAATCAGTATTATATAAAACTTTAGTACAAATTTATAATAAGACTACTAAATATAGAAGATTAAAGAACTAAGAAGTTGAAAACTTACTTAAAAATTTTAAGTAAAAAGACAACATAAATTTTTAATGATATTATTAGATTAATAGAAATCTATAAACACCTTCAAGAACATTAATAAGATAAACTAAATAACAAATATATATAAAAAAAAATATAAACAACTAAGCTATCAGATTTATTAAAAAAAAGAATACAAAAGTATATTATACCAAATCATCTGAATTGGTAGTTTGGAAAATCAAGAAAAATTCAAAAAGTATTAATAGAAGAAGATAGAAAAAATATCAAAAAGATAGATATTAAAATTTTAATAAACTTTACAAGAGTAAAAATAATATAACATAATGGTTAAACAAATAACTTTTATAACTGCAAGTATTAGGTAACTATAACATATTACATAAAATTAAATTAACTGTATATAAGATATGACAAAGTTTAGTAAATCTTCTGTCAAAGATAAAATAATTCTAAAGATACTAATAAAAATCAAGAACTTGGATGGTCTGTACTCTGAAGATGATTCTGTAATACAAAAGAATTGTATATACAAAGTGTTTAAATAAACAAAATTCATAATTGACTTGCAAGTATGACATCTAATATAATAATATATAAATGAACTACTTAAATTAAATACCAAAAATGCATATATAACTAGTTATAACTTCCAATGCAAGAAAACTCCTAAAGGCACCCATGTTTGATAAAAACTTGAATAAAAATCACTTTCCAAAGATAGAAACTTTGACTTAAAAATATATATATATATTTCAACAAGCTGTACCTTTTTCAAAAAATCTTGTTTAAACTACTCTAAATATAAAATAATAAAATGTTAATTTTAAAGTTAACTTTTTAACTCTTTTTAAAATAGAAATAATGTTGTAACGAGTTTTTGCTTGTGTTCTCAAAAGTGTATAAGTTACCTAGGCAATTGATTTACACAAGCCAATCAGGCGAATTTCAGCTCATGAGATATTCACGTAACATAAACAATTAAGATAATATTGTAAAACGAACCTTTATTTTACATATTAAATATTCAACTTTACAAGAAATTACTACTAATACAAAATATAAATCATACTTTTTTTTCTACATATTTATTAACTAAATATATGTGTATTATTAGTGCCTTAATCCCTTAAATCTGGATGAACAATGAAATCACCCAATCCTTTTCCAGCTGGTACCATAGGATAAACATGTTCGTGTTTCTCTATTATTGCGTCACATACAATGGGTCCATCATTATATTCTAAAAACTCAGCCATTTTATCTGGTAATTCTTCCTCGGTACGAATTCTAAGAGCTTTAGCACCCATTGACTATGAAAAATACAATAAATTCGATAAATATTTATCACGTGATCAACGCAGATATTTAAATAGTAAAAATTTGCAAACCTCTGCTAATTTCACAAAATCTGGATTTACCATCTCAGTTTGACTGTATCTCTCTTCGTAAAATAAGTCTTGCCATTGTTTGACCATTCCTTGAAAATCATTATTAAGAATCAACACTTTAACTCCAATCTTGTATTGAACTGCGGTTGCCAATTCCATTCCGGTCATGCAAAAACTTGCATCACCATCAATGTCTATAACAATCTTATCAGGACAAGCAACCTTGGCTCCAATAGCCGCAGGGAGACCATAACCCATAGTTCCTAAGCCACCTGATGTAATCATGGTTCTTGGATATCTCCATCTAAAAAATTGAGCTGCCCACATTTGATGTTGTCCAACGCCTGTGGTCATAAGAACCTTTTCCTTATAATCTCGTGTCTGTCGATCCAACTCTTCAATAAATTGCTGCGGTTTCAAAGGCGCGTTTGACGATTTTGGCTTGGCATACATCCAAGGATACTTCTTTTTCCATTCATCAATGAGTTCAAGCCATTCTTTTCGTTCTGCCTTTTGAATTAATGGTAAAATTCTGCCAAGATTGTCTGATACATCACCCTCAATTGCAGCAGTAGCTTGAACAACCTTATTAATATTTTTAGGGCTTATTTCAAAATGAATGATACCACCTCTACCCTCCTTTGCTGCTTGCTTAGCTGCTGGTGCAAATTCTATTTAAATTCATTTAAAATTAAACTTCTTATCTAATTAAATAAAACCAAATATACAGTATTGAATATACATACGAGCCAAGTGACCAGTTACACGATCATCGAATCTTGAACCCAGACCAATAATAACGTCCGCATTTTGCATTGCCAAATTAGCATAGGCTGAACCATGCATACCTAACATATGTAAGCTAAGGGGATCCAATTCATCAAACCCACCAAGGCCCTGCAAAGTAGTCGTCACTGGAATATTACCACGACTAGCCAATTCCCTCATACGAGCTGGTCCTTCTGATGTTGCAAGAACACCTTGACCCGCATATATAACAGGTCGTTTGGAATTGTTGATTAATTCAGCAGCCCGACGAATAACATGATGATTTGTTACGGAAGAGGCCAAGGCAGGAGCATCACTGAATGCTCGAAACGGAAGCGTATATTGAGTTGGAATAGGTTTTTTAAGTATAGAAGCAGTCATATCCTTGGGAAGATCCACAAGTACCGGACCTGGACGACCGGTGGTGGCGATTTCGAAAGCCTCTGTGATACGACGCGGTAGATCCGCAACATCTTTTACCATTACATTCCACTAATTTATTAGAATAAAAATAAAATAAAGTTCCAATAATTTTTAAACCATTAAAAATCACGTATACATATACAATACCTTTGTACATGCACGACTGATACCAACAACATCAGCTTCCTGAAACGCGTCAGTTCCAATAGCAGTAGTAGGTACTTGACCACAAAATACAATTAGAGGTGTACCGTCTGATAGAGCGTCTTGCATGGGCGTTATGGCATTTGTTGCACCAGGCCCAGAAGTAACAAGTACAATACCAGGCTTACCACTGGCTCTCGCGTATCCTTCCGCCATGTGGCCAGCGCCTTGTTCGTGTCTTGGCAAAACAAAATTAAAGTGTTTTGAATTATAAATAGCATCAAACACTGGAAGAATTGCACCTCCAGGATATCCGAATACTTGTTTTACTCCATGACGCAACATCATCTCATGGAAAATTTGGCCACCAGTTAAACCTACAAATGAATTATCATAGGCTGGAGTTGTGGGCGAAAGCGTGGGCTCAGGAGGTAATGGAATCTGTGCTTTACGCGGTTGCGGGGGTGGAGAATAGGTCGGTTGAGGCTGGGGATGGTGTGATGGACTTAAATTTCAACAAATGAAAAATGAATGCATAAAGAATTATTTGATGATAAATAAATAGAATGCTTGCTTCAAAACGAGAATTCTAATTATCTGGGGTCTTTGCCTTGAAAATGACCATAATAATTACTATTACTATTTCCATAAAATCATTTTCAAGGCAAAAACCCATCAAATTGTTTTACCTTATAGCGGTAGCCTTCCACCGTCGTTGGTAACCATTTGATGCAGCAAACGCGAATGCTGTATTTTTTACATTATATATTTTTGCACAGGCTTCTGAACAAACAGGTTTCGTATTCCGTAAATACGTGGAAAAAACGCGAATTTGGTTCATTTTTATTTTATTAGAATGTGAATCGAATTTAAAAATTAAAATTTTGAGCACTTGTGAGGAATAATTTTTTGTTTAAATGTTAACTGTGAGTCAAAATTTTTTTATAAACGACAAAAAAAAAAAAATTTTGTGCATTGTAGCACTGCAGTACAATAAGCCAACTAATGAGTGAGTCATAGTTGTACTACTAGAGGTGAGATCGCTTTGTGTAACAATGTGGAGACGGAAAATTATTAACTATTACTAGAAAACGAAAACCGTTTATGGTAACAAATTACCCGGATAACCCGGGTAATTTAATAATACCCGTGTAGAGATTTCCTCAACGGTTTCAATCTCTATGTTAGAATATTATAATAAAAAATTTAAAAGAGGTGGAAATAAAATTTACCAACTATGCTGTTTCTCAAAAACGGCTTTAGTAATTGTTTTGGTGTATACTAAATCTTATAATGTATAACTAAAAACATAACATAATACGTAGTAAATTCTTCGATAATTTCTATATAATTTTATTTTTTTTTACATCAAAAAACTTTTTTGGCTAATTAATAATAATTACTAACAATTGATCAATTATTATTGAATAAATTTAATAATCAATAATGGGGTCTGGCTTTCATAGCTTATTGTTAAGCTTTCAGATCTTTACAAACAAGATTAACGGTTTGAGTTGAACTGAAGGTATTTTGAAAAAAATATTTCTTTAACTTAAAAATAAAAGTTATAATCAAATACATATAAAGCCTTGTAAAAAGTTTATGTATAAGTATAAATTTGAAAAAATAATTTTTAGAAGATTCAATTATAGAAAAGTTATTATGTATTTCTAAAACCAAAAATTATTTTCAGGCAAATTTGTTTGAAAAATTACTAAAAATATACTTATAATTTATATTTTTTAAATTTTAAAATATTTAAATTGGGATTGGGCTTTATAGCTTAATGGTAATGTTGCTAATTCTTCACAGACTAGGTTAATAGTTCAAGTTAGATTGAAGGCAAAATTTTAGAATTTTAACTTTATATTTAATAAGAAGCCAAATTGAATATAAAGCTTTGTAAAAAGTTTCAAGATGAAATATAAGAATAAATTAAAAATTCTTAGAAAAAGATTGATTTTGCAAAATAAAAACATTATATATAATAGCATTATTATAGAAGGTTTGATTACAATAGTATTGTATATATAAGTCTTTAAAAGACAGAATAGCATTAACATCTTTGTATTTAACTTATAGAATACTTGATTAAAAAGGTAATACAAGTAATCAAAACTGAAGTGGTAAGCAATGTGGTATATGCAGAAAAGATTTGTGTTAAAAGATTGGTATAATCAAAATTAGAACATCTTAAGTAGATACTTTTAAAGTATTTGATAAATATTTCTTAAAGCAGTCATATATTATAACTTAAATAATAGGCATTATACCTGTATATAAAAATAAACAAATTGTAGTTTTTTCAAAAATTCTGTACATAATGTATAGGATCTATATGAGATTTGTATCCTCATAGAATTTATAAGCTGAAATTTAATTTTTTAATTTTTTAATTGCAAAAATAGAAATTTTTAAGATTTGGGTCTGTGTAATAGTAAAATTAATACAGAAACATATTTATTTAAGATTAAAAATTACATTTTACAAATTTACAATATATGTAATATCATATAAGTTTTGATATATAGATTTTATAAAAAATTCCAATATTTATACAAATTTTGTTTATATATAAACCAGTTAAATTTATATAAAGAATTCTTATACAATTTAAATATAAAGTAATTTAATCTTATTAAATTTATATTAAAATATTTTAAATATCATAATTTAATTAATTCAGATTTTGTCTAAATTTTTTTAATATTATGTTATATATATTTAATATTTTGATAATTAAAATAAAAATTAATTTTTTTTTTTTATTAAAGTTCTTATCTTGGGAATGTGATATTTTATTCAAGTTTTGTTAGAAAACAAGTGGCTCCAAGGGCTTCCTTACATTGGAGGTTACAACTAGCCACATATGCACTTTTAGTACCTAATTTAAGTAGTCTACTTACATATTGCTATATAAGTTCTACACTAGTTGCCATATCTGCAAGCCAACTAGGGGTCTTGCCTATTTAAATCCTCTGTATATGCAATCCTCTTTGTATCACAAAAACATCTCAAGGCTACATCAACAAAATTATAGATGTGAAATATTTCGAAAGAATTTGCATAGCACAAAAATTTTAAAATAATGAAAAGATATTTCAAAATTTTTGTGAAAT